GAAAACAGGCCATTGAAGAACTTCGAAGACTTAAATTTATAAGAAGTTACGCCTGGCGATTTGTGTTCGATAACCAAAACATTTTATTCTCGAAGCAGAAGCTTTCCGAAATCATCCATCAGGTTATAATTTCTTACTTAAAGAAGAGGGAATAAATATGAAATATGATGAAAGTGTTTATGTAATAATTTTGAAACATATTTTTAATGCAGATAATTAAAAAGTTTTGTAAACTCTGTATACTTTTGGTGGTGGTATGAAGGCGTCTGTCCTTCCTAAACTGTATTACGTGCATCAAAGCGGTTATTAAAACGAGTATGTTGTTGATGCACGACGGCGGGGTAAGCACATAATTATAATGCCACGCAACATTGCCATATTGTTTATAGACACATCACGCTTTCTGTCAAGTTCATTAAAAATTTAACAAACGCTCAACAACAACAATTATTGTGTGCCGATGTTATTAATAGTAGACAAAGTGTCATTAATTTCATTCCATTGCAAATCAAACGCCATTAAATATACATGCATGCAAATGTAAGCACTACATATACATATCCGCATATATATTTGCTACGAAGTACACAAGTGCCAGCTACACAAATACTTGACGTATGCAACAGACTTTGATTGAACGGATTGAAGGTGTGCAAATAATAATGGCGTTCAATTACAATTACATACCCATCGACAGAATGTACGTACATAAATGCATATTTATGTATATGTATTCAAATATTGATGTAAAATATGAGTACATTTGATGCCTTGTTAATGTTTAAAAAAAAAAAGAAGAAAACATATTCATAAGGCGCACAAATGATTTGAAATAATTATGGGTATGTATACGGACTGATAAGCGCGAATTGTAAATATGCAACTTTGTAATAATTATTTTCGAGATTTACACGAATGGGAGAGGAATGCTTTCATACCCTGCCCTTAAAAACTATTTTTCAATTAATTAAAACACACTTTAAAAGTCATATTTCATTCCTTTTCATTTCACACATTTACGTGCTACCTGTGTGTGTGTGTGTGTGTGTGTGTGTGCATTACATTGAAATATGCATTACAAAGAAAAGCATTTTTTTTTTTCTAATTCCTATATACATATATAAATATATATGCTTTTTTCCGTTTTTTTTTTTCTTTTTTATGAACGCTATTATGTACATTCATAAGTACATGTCTTTTCATTCATACACACAGAAATTGCTGTATGGTTACGAATGAAAATCATTTAAGGCTTAAATGGAAATGTCATCGTCCTTTAAATGAAAACGCAACTAATAGAAATACATTCGCCTTTAATTTCTAAAGCCTTTCTACGCCCATAAACGGATCGAAATACACTTCTGTTGGTTTTGTCAATACGTTCGTCACGCTCGATAATCCACGTCAACGATTCCAAAGGGATTGGAAAACATTTTAAAACGACTTTAGTTTAAGTCCGCTGATAAGTAACTACAATTTTTCTTATACATTATTAGTTTTTCTCTATTGAACATGTGCCAATTCCCTCTCAAGAACCTCTTATTTGTAATTAGTGTTCATCGCAAATTTGTTAAAAAAATATTTCTTAGACTCAAGAAACCCACTGACCACGATTAACAAAAAAAATATTTTGATTGTTGTGCATTCAGTTAAGCTGATTGATGGGTGTCCAAGTCTCGTTGTAAGCCGTTCATTATTTTCTTACTTGCTTCAACTAAGTAGTGCAAACTTAATGTTTGGTTAATGTATTCATAAAGTAACAAGTAAAACGGCATAATAAGGCGAATCGTGTATACTTCGCATCCATATAAGGGAAATATGTACAAAAATTTCTGCTTTCTATGTTTTAAGTGCCAGCCGGCTTGACTTCATTAGGAATTTTAGTTACTTTTAAAAAGCTTAAATATATGTGCCTAACAAAGTTCGTTTCCATATCTACTACGATTCCAGATAAGGAAATAAGTTATTGATCGAAAAGGAAGTAACGCAAGGAAATAACCATAAAGGGACAAAGGAACACATTTGGCACATTTAAAGAGTCGCAGTATATTAACTCTCAGGCAAGCTTTACTGGTTAATCTGCGAAACTTGTTGATTTGATCAGTTTAATATAACCTACGAGGTCAACACTTAAGTGTTGTACTATGCATTGCATAAAGCCTTTCTAGCCTATATAAAGACTGGCATATATGCGCATAGATAGGAACATATTGGAAGTGAGAAACTCGAGATTATTAAGTTTCAAAACCCTGCTAAGTCAATATTTGTTGTAGCGTTTACGAATACTTATTATCCTAATTTTTCGTTCCATTAAACTAGCATGGATGCATGCAACACGCCGAAAAGACACAGCTATTGTTATAGCAATTATTTCTGAATAATCTCTCAATCATAAGCTTTTCGGATTTTCTCACAATGGAGAAAAATTTGTATTTCGCATTTATTTAAGGGCTCAAATCAGTATAAATTTTTCAAAATATCAATTCTTTTTTTTTTTGACCTTCTAGAATATGTGAAAAGAATTCGTTACTCGCATGAAATTTTTTGTTTTTCCCGAAAAATAACCTGATTTTTTACTTATTGACTTCGCTAAGCGATCACTTTAGAAGCTATTTATGTTCATTCGAAACCGTTACGTAAAGCGAAAAATCTGCGATTGTTTTTCGAGTCACGTTCGAGCTTCAAATCCTCGAGGAAAGGTAACCGGCGGTGGTGGGGGGAGGGGGGCAAATATTTTCACTTGGAAGGCTAGTTTTATGATCTTGAAAACGCCGCCTAACTGAAAAAAAAAAACAAATATATTATAGTAAGACGACATATCTGTCAAGCTTTCTAAAGCGATTTTCTCGAAACATGATTTTTTCAAACGTCAGACAGCACAACTCAAGCAATTTTCATTTTTTTTCATTCGAATTTTTTACAGTAATGTTACTCTTTTGCCATATTTGATGACTTGAGTTTGCATAAAAATTACTTGATTTTCTAAGAAACAAAATTTTAAAGGGAGGGAAATGCCAAGTACACATTCTTGGCACATTGTCTGGATCGTGCAGACGGCGACTGGCGAAAAAATTAACAACAATTGGCAAAAATTTAGCGGAAAAACGAATTGACGGCGAATTGAAATGTCGCGAAGAGTTTAGTAAACAGTGTTCGCAAAAGGATATGTCGGCAGAATATTTGTAGAAGGCAGAGTTAGTCGCCAGCGAGTCAAAAGTGAGTCGTGACAGTCGAGTTGAGAAAGTCGAATTGCCATACGCGACCGGTCGAAACAAGAAGGAGAATTTAAGCGTTGTAAAAATGAGTTCCTGTAAAGAATTTGTGAGTAAATCTCCTAAAAATTATAAATAAAACCTACACTATCCTATAAATCACAATTCAGTGGCACGAACTTTATATCAACAGCCATTGAATAAATAATATAAAATTACGAAAAAGAGGTTTTTTTGTGATCAAGAATTGCGTTTTTCACTCAAGCTTTTGCCATTTACACACAAATCCACATTTACGAACACCTCTGCATGTTTCTTTAAGTATAGGGACGTAGGGACCAGTCGTGCTGTTTGCAAAAAATACCTGCGGTGTTCCCAATTCTTAATAGTTTTTGAAAACACTTCTTTTCTTTTTTTGGAATATTTCAAGGTACGCTTAATAACCTCCCCAAATATTATTGTTCTAGCACCTTCCCTTCTATCAAAAATACCCTTTTTTTCGCTGTTACCGTGCTCAACCCCTTTATATGAATTTCGCATATTTTAGACACAAATCAGTTTCAGTTTTTGATTCAGTCAGTGGTTTTCGTAAAACGTTTTTATTCTTTGTCCTAATTTTGGCGATGGCAGCGATAACGTTCCCATTTTAAGAATGAATGAAATGGAAAATGAAAAAAAAAAGAACCCGCTCGTCTTTGAAATAAAAATTTCCTTGCACACCTTTCAATTAACACGTGTGTTAAATAAACTTGTGTTTTTACAGTTTATTGCTTTAGAACTGAATTGAACGAATGCAATACCCTTTTGTTGCAATATATATCGCATACAATATTTCTTTAATGTAACGACATGCAATCTATTAAATGTATTGAGCGTTTGTCGAAATGTTTTCTCTGCAACTAAATAATTATTACGTCATATATTATACTGCTGTCAATTAATTGTCATAATATAATGTAAAAATCATTTCAATGCTTTCTAAAATATTCAACAAATTTTATGTAAAAATATTGTCACAGATATGGCTACACTTAGAGCTAATTTAGGAAATTGGGTTGACATTGACAAATATTGTAAAAGCATTTTTAGCTGAAAGTGATGAAGAAAAACGCTGGTGGGTGGAGTTCTTACCGCTTAAATAAGTACGAAACAAAGTGCTTTTAAAGTACATAATAATGCAAAAGTTTTGAAAAACATCTTCATTCACGTTTGTGGTAAGAAGAAAACTGATAAACTGTTTTTAAATGAAACGCATAGGAGAGACAATAGAGAAGAAACGAAAAGGGTTTTGGAACATTCCTGGTACTTTGTTCAAGTTTATGCCGAAAATCTGGCTGAAAAAATAAGCAACTGTAGCGTGATGAGAACTGAAATTGTGTCGCTATGCTAATGCTTCTCCAAACATCAGCATTGTCTACACGCTGTCCATCCGCTATAATAATAATTCCAATCTTGGCAAGTTTATGAAGTGCACACTGTTTGTCCTTCGATTTAATAGCAAAGTAACATATGGACTGAAGAAATATCAAATTCTTGACGGAATATGACGTCAAAACGGTAGATAAAAAAAAAAACCGTCTGCAATGACAGCAATGAACCCATTTCAGGCTAGTGTTATCATTTTTGAGTGCAAATTTTGTTTTTTTTTTTTTTTGTCTAACACAGACGATTAAAGCGAAGCTGAATATAAAAAATTGATGAAACATAGATAGAGGATCACAGAAACACAGAACAGAAACTTTCTTATGAATCGTAATTACTTTGATTTGGGATTGTTCTTTAACATACCTCTGGTTGAGTTTCGCCATGAACGATGCATACTAACATGGCCTCATGACCTTCACCAGAAAATACTATTGGTCGCTCGACAGTTATTTCAGGCGGATCTGTTCCAAATAAAAATAGAAAAAGTAATAGATTCAGGTTAAGTGGATGATTATAATTAAAATGTATTTGATATTAAAAATGTGATGTGTGGCTTCTGTTGCGCATCATATGTATACATATATGTAGTCGAAAGGCGGGTCAAAGTTTTGTTCACTGTTATAAAATTTCAATTAAAGTTTCTATTTGCTTAACAGTTTCAATTTTGCGCTTTTTCACCCGCAACTTGATTCTGCTTTAAATAAGACATAAGTACCCACATTACCTATGGTCGGATAGAAATAATATCTTGGAAATGTCATTACACATTCATTCAAATCGTTTTCTGATAAGAGTTTCTGTGAAGAGTTGATTGCCAGTCCCAAATTTCATAGCCTAGAAACAATATGAACTCATGCTAGTAAATGCATTTCTCTCTCATGACTGAAAGTAAAATTACGGACTAATTACGAATTTATTTACCACAAGTGAGCTTCTCTAAGTGAATTTCCTCCAATATTTGTATAGGGATGCAGCAAATTTTTCCTTTGAGGAATAATGTTTTAGAAGTGGATAACCGTTGAGACTTATTAATAAATTTCGGAATTGTCGAAAGTCTAACTTTGCTAAAAAAAAACGACTCAAATATGTTCTGTTGAATTTACTACTTTTACGTTAGTGCTTAAAAGTTGTTATTGACCTGAAAGTCAGAAATCTATTAAAGATATTCTCTGGACTTTAAATCACGTCTATTTTACACTGCTCTTCTGTTAACTACACTACACTCACAGGAGGGGAAGAAGTGCGAAACAATGTCATATTTTTGTTGTTAATAATGACGTTTAATTTAGGACTACCAGGCCTCTGAGAGCCTCAGAATTTTGCTATTCTTCTGAAGCATTTTAATATCGTCTAATTAAAGATATTGGGTGACTGATAAAACGATTCTATCCTATGATGATGACCGTGAAGAGAGCAGAACAATATATAATGATGTCGCTACTTACATAGAACGTGTAGGACAACTTGACTAGAAGCCGCCTGCCCAACACCGTTGTTAGCCGTACATATGTAAACACCTCCCTTATGGCGATCCACATTCTCAATGGAAAGTATGTGTGAATGCAGTTTTTCTTCGCCTGTGTCATTGCAAGTTTTAAAAAGAGAACAAAGATAAGAAACCGGTGGTAATCAGTGATAATCTGCGTTGAATCAGTTCTGTACGTTGTTCTATATTTCGAATATCTCACCATTAGGCAAAATGTTGTTTTTACGACTCCAGGTCACGTTCGGGGTTGGATTGCCGGATGCTGAACACTCGATACGTACAGAAGACCCTTTTTTGACTTGCAAATGGCCGCTTGTGCTAATATGATGAATTCTCGGTGGCACTGCAAAGAAAATTAATGCAAATTAATTCTTGTATGAACGCGTAAGGAATCGGATTGCAAAACGTTCTTTCTAAACGTTATTCTCTTAACTGTTTATTTCTTGAAGTAAAGTTATATAATACATTAAGTGTGATTTATTCAAGGGTATAGTTTCACATAATTATTATTTATACATCAAGTTGGATAAGCGGAATGAAGAAATCTTTATTAATCCTTCAAATGTTTATGTTGAGCGTATTTATCATGAAGATAAGAAAGACATTATTTTTAATAAAAGTATAACAAAGATCTTTTAAAAAATTTACGTTTTAAATAGATCGATCGAAAGACGATCCGCTCTCTCTATAACCAAAAAAGAAAGAAGACAATTGAATTTTTAATTTATTTTATTTTATTCATTTAAGTCATTACACATATAATGGGTTTCCAATTAACGTATAGGTATGTTATAGATGAATGAATACCGTGTAGATTAGTAATCGCATATAACATCCTTGGTACAGTCTAAATTATGATGCATGTTCGGGAATGCAGAAATACAGAAAATGTTGCCTAAAGCGGGAGGAGGAAAAACAATAGAATAGGCATTGGGTTAGCGTACGGCTCCATTGTACTACAGTTGCATTGTAATATCCTGTTGGTAAGTGTTTAAACCCACCAGCACTAGCAGTGGGTAGCAAGTTCGACGGACAAGCGTTCCATGGCTTGATAGCACATATAAAAAAGTGTAAAAAGTTTGTATAATTTTCATGCAGGCTGTGAACAGGCGTTTTCCGACGATGCTTTGTGTAAATAATTTTATGCAGCAATAACAGCAGTCTCTGCTGGCGCATATTTTCAAAGGTTTTTCCTTCGTTACAATAAAATTGTTCATATATATCCAATGGATGATACTACAATTCCTGTACAAAAGATGGAAAAAATCAGACATTCCCCCCCCCAAATATCATAGAGCAACAAAAATTTCATTCTTTTATTAAAAGTTGGCAGTTTTATGCTTTAAATTATGTCACAAATTTACCTTTAAGCTGCTGTAAGTTTTCTTTATTGAAATAATTCTTGTTTACTAACAAGGGAAAGAAATCCAAAATTTGCTTTTTTTTTGTGATAATTAGTTAATCCTACTGCGTGGAAATTTTACTTTACTTAGGTTGATTATACTTGTCGTCGTTCGAAAATAATTAAATATTCAGAGGGTTAAGCGTGCTTTGTTAAAATCATCTTAGACCGAAATTTCCATATATTCAGTGAAATTTACATTCCGTCCGATTAGCTTGGACGCTGCTAGGTATGATAGTCGGACGATTTAGAAAAATTTTTCAAAAGGAATATTCATAAGCAATTTTTGCTGCAATGTCTTTTTATTTCCTGTGTTTACCTTTGTCAAATGACACTACGAATCCTGCAGTAATTTCAGTTGAACGTTACATTTCCCCCATCATATCCTATGCTTGTAAGCATGAAAGATCCCTATAAGTATGTTACATTATTTGCAATATGAAGGCGTGTAGGATTGAGATTGTTCAGAAAAGTCCGCTAAGTGGATAAGTTTGGGGAGATTGGTCTCTAATTGAGTATTATTAGAAGCGCATCGTTGTATTGTACTTCAACGAGGAAGCTTAAGCTATCAAAAAATACCTTTGCATATATAAGTAGAAGCATAATATTTTTATATATCTTTCTTGACTGAATAGTAGACACACCTACTAGATTACGAGTTTTTTTTTATAGCATTCGTATGTTCACATTTCGTATAAGAACAATTAATTATTTTCTTCTATAAAATATCTGAGAGTTTTTGTGTATTGGGATCTCGTTGGCTAAGTTATTTTATATGTACGTATGATTAAGTTCAGTTTGTATGGAGCGTTTGGTTATTGTGGACATCTCTTTGTCTAATGTTTGTTCGGTTGTGAGTGCCGCATAGAATTTATTCTATGGTAACCGAGCATCACGTTGCAAAGCGAGTGCTCATTGTGCATATTCTACTCTATGGACTGCAATTCATATTATGAAACTTCTATAGCAATACGTATACATATCGTTCTATGAAAGTTAAGCTAACGTCTGCATTTGCTCTGTTGTGTTGTATTGTGTTGTAGTTTTGTAAATAGCAGAGAATACAATAAATGATATTCTCTAAGCTTCAGTCTTGTTTAATTTAGTGCTTATTTGTTTGTGCATTCGTTCATTTGGTTGTCCATTTATATATATGTTTGTTTGTTTATTTGTTACAAATACATGCATAAATGTTATTGCTTGCCTTTCTGTCATCCTGTCAATATAAGGTAAAGCAAGAAGTGTACATGTTGCATATAAATTTCATGCTCAAGGTTGTGGTTGTTGTAATTGTCATTATTAGTATCCTATTATATATATATATATGCAGATCGTAACATACGCACACAGAGACTATGCAAATATTGTGGCAATTAAATGTTTCCATATTGCTACCGCAAAGTGTATGTTTTGAGAAACAAATAATTCTCACATTGCTGTACAGTATTAAACCGATGACATAATACAATCGAAACCTGCACGAATGATATGTAACAAGCAGGCGTATGCATGCACGTTACGTATTTATTTTGTCTGTGGGAGGCATCTGCAAACATATTTCCACATAAATGCTTACATAGGCCATATTACTTTGTAAGGCAAATTTAGCTGAAATCATTCGGTTTAGATGTCTGTTTTCTTAGTAATAATTTTCAAGAAATTGTATTTTCATCTCAAAAACAAAAAAAAAAAAAAATAAAAAAACAACAAACTTTTTCACCTAAATACTTTTCTCAGATGACTCGATTGCAGTTCAGCTTTAATTGATGTTAATAAACTGCGGTTTAATTAGTTCACTTGTATGCGTATATTTATGTCGGCCATTGTGCATATTGACATTAATTGTTATAATTTAGTTATGGTCTAGTGGTTCTTACTATTATTTTAAGTTATTGTTTGTTCGACAAATTTTAGGAAATTGTATTAAAGCAATAAATATGTAAAAGACTTTTCAGAACCGCCTTAAATTATGGTTCTTCATACATTGGCCTATCACATGTACTGCACGCAGAAAATCTAAAATTTGCCTTGATGTGTGTAAGTAATATAGATGGTAAAATAAAACCAGAAGTATTGTCATCGCTTTAGAAGCTAGCGCGATATTCGTTACACAGTTAAAGAGTTGTATCGTTTCGTCGCCTTATATTGATATTACGATTCTAATTGTAGGTATTAAAACACCACGGATAAGGTACGGGTTTATTTAAAAGGAGTCTGAAACTTTTTCTGTGCATTTGGTGGGATCAGCAACATGTAGCGTATTACGGGCTGTTAAAACCAAATGAAACTATTGCTGCAGATGTCTACCAACTACAATTAAGCAAATTAAACGATGTATTGTCGCAAAAGAGATCAACTACAGAGGTTAGTAGATGCAAAGCCATCCTCTTGCATAACAACGCCTATACATTGCAAGAGCTGTCAAGGTTACACTGCTGCAGCTCGAATGGGAAGTTTTGCGGCATTCAAGGCACTCACCTGACCTAGCGTCTTCTAATTGCGAAGAAGTGCGAAAATGGGTCGATGGCTGGATCGCTGGCGCACCAACATCGATCTTTCGACACGGAATCGCCATCTTGCCAGAAAGATGGGAAGATGTTATAGGTAGTGATCGGGAACATTTGGTGTAATATATAACGTATCAATTTTTCTAAATAAAATGGTGAAAATACATGCAAGCATTTAATAGTATTTGAGAAGGAAAAGCTGTTGCTTATATACTAGAGAAAGTACTGAAGCCTTTAAGAGTAAATTTTCGTTTAGCTAATCTTAGAAGGATATCTATTGCTCTTAACATCACATTTATACAAACTACTTCCTTGTAATAAGCTGCGTTTTCATAAGCCTTCACTCTTAGCAATTTCAGTGAAAGACTTGTCTCTTATTATTGGTATAAGGTCTTTAAAGTTTTTTTTGGTAAGCAATTCGCGCAGGGGTCGTCTGGCACAGAGTGCAATAAGAGGACATCATACAATGACACGCCACCAGACAAGATTGTGAGAAACCAAAGGAGTGTCGCGTTTTGGCCTCACAGAGTCTCCGTCTCTGAGGGGGAGTGGTAGAGTATGTAAGGCTAAGAGAGCTAGAATTAGAGTAAGTTAAGCTAAGAGAGTTAGAATTAGAGTAAAGAGAAACCAGAAGAACCTGAGAATAGTTAGCTTAAGCCGAAGTTTAGTAGGTTTGTCAGGACTAGAGTATGCTAGCGAGAAGGAGTTGGTCGCAGGATGAGTGAAAGAGTGGACGTGTCGGTCTGGTGGTTGCGGTCACCATGACGGTGGTAATAGATCCTTGAATCAAGAAAATTAATATATATTTGAAATACAACAAAGAAAACTCATCTTCAGAGAGACAAATATAATAAGCAAAAGAAAATACCAAAAGGTACTAGGAATAAATAGAAAATATAAGACAAAGTGTCAAAATGAATTTGTACTAATAAAAAACTCGTTTATAAATTACAACGATATTTAATACAAAGAACGCAACAAAGGAATGTCTTGTGAAACAAAAAGCTGGAGTCGCTACCCCAGCTATTCCAGCAACAGGTTTGGGCAAAAATAACCCTCACAAGTTCACGTAAGACCGACCGAGCTATCCAATGACATTCCGGCGTAATATGTAATGTTTTTTGAAAAAGAGTCTCGAATATGATTAAATCTTCACTTTCAATTAATTATTTATTAAAAAAAAAATTATGAAAATTTTGAGCTTAATTTTATTGTATTAGTATAGTCTTATCGCATTTTACACTCTTTATATATATGAGAATATGAAATTACTTTTTGTTCCCTAGTAAAGTAAATATCAAATAGCCTCAGTAATTATATAAAATGTATGTACGGATGTGTAGAGATGCATTGGAATGCATAGTTGTCAGCAAATTTGCTTAAGCCGCCTTTAATGAGGATGACAAAAGCGAATCCAAGCCTCATTGATAAAAG